ATGGAGGAAATCTTGCACCAGCTTAAGTTCCTAAATTCCTAGAAGTTACAGTAGTTTAGGACCCCTATGTGGTGTAAGATTTTATCCATCAACAGTATCACTTCAGGGGCTTTAGGCTTTGAGGTGCCAAGATGTACAGCAAGTATGATACGTTGGCTGTTTTCCTGGCGATTGCTACTTGTAGGCTTTGAGGTCCTTCCCTCATTATATATACATATATACACCAATATTCCCTTATACATACAAGCCGTACATATTCCTAGATAAACCCTGCCACCTGGCAAAAAATGCGGTGGTTAGTGTTCCCCCTTAACCCTAAAGCCCTGCGTATGTCTTGAAACTGCCAGCCATAAGAACAGTGATTCCTGCACGAAACCCTCGTTAGCTGAGCCCTGCACAGCCGGTTTAGGGTTCAGGGTTCTGTAACTTTCCAACTCAGCTGAAAAACCTTGAGCCTTGAACCCATACCTGTATAGTCCCTCTTTTCTAGATAGAATATGGCTTTGGGTATATTTTTGTCAGATCCCCATATACCCCATATTCTATCTACTTAAGGGGGACTGTAGCCCAACCTGGAGCTAGGAGTCTTGAAGCATGCTGGGTAGTGTAACCCTAGGGATCCAAGTATACAGATAATGCCTACATTGGGCTCTAAAGTCTTTATGTATTACCTAGATTGGGCTATATGGATCCCCAGGGTAAGGCTAGATCATCGCAATCCGCACTTTTAAGCTACACCCCTCCAGTTGGATAGCCCCAAAACCTATTTCACCGCCACTACGTCAGCCCTGTTCCTAAGACCTGTCAGCCCTGTTGGAAAGATGATCCTACAACCATGGTCTGAGCTGTCTCCAGACTGATCTCGGTGGATGAGATAGTGGTTCGTAGGGGTAAGCCTAAATGGCAACTAGGCTCCCCCATGACGGAAAATGTTGTAGAAACATATCCTGGGGCACAGAGGTGTTGTAAGGTGGTTGAGGGGACTTCTATAACGTACTTAGCTACATTTCGTTGCATGGTCGGCACATCGCGATGATCGCGATCATGTGAGCTACTGTCAATATTAGCTTTGTTAAGCGACCCGTAACGATGGACACAGGGGTCCCTTGTGTAGTTTAGTATAGTCCCAAATAAAGTCCCTAATGTGAAAACCATGTCCTTCAATTATGTGGGGAAATCTTGAACTTTGACAGCAGCTCCAGGAATGCCACCAGCTGCTTCGCAGCTGCCACCACTCTGGGCATCCACGCCTCCAGCTTTGTGAACAGGACCGTGGCAGGGGTTTATGGTTTAAGGGTTTTGGGTTGAGGGTTGCGGGTTGATGATTTAGGGGTTAGATTTGTGAAAAGGACCGTGGCGGATCCCAAGCTTCCGCCAGGATGCTCTGCAACCCTCATACACTTAGCAAAATTTGCTGTTTTGCTGTGAGGGCAGGGGGAGAGGTAGCAAGGTAGGCCTTGCGCAATTTCCCAAGCCCAATATTATTGTAGTTTCCATTTTCTTGTCCATTATCCCTATATATAACCACAACATATACCCTGTATATCCCCTATATACACCCTATATACCCCAAATATTCTATGCTGGCTTATGGCCAGTTGCCTTTCTTTTGCAAAGGTTTTGCAGGCTTCATTTGTTTTGTGGGAGCCAGCAAGGTGACCGTCGAGCCGAACCAGACGGCAGTGGTCGCTTTGTCGGAACTGGTGCAACTTTTTTTCCAAATCTGTAACTTTTGTGGGGACATTCTCGCAAGAGTTGAAGGCTAAGCTGCTGTATGTGTGTGCTTTCCCTCGTTCTGCGGTACGCCTACAGATCATGCAGGTTCTAGGACATGTGGTCTCTATAGCTCTCTAGCTCATCTTGCGCTGCCCGCGATCCAATCAACGGAACAAACGTGACAAAGAGTAGTTGCCACTCATTGATTGCCATTGCTGCAGAAGTTCGGGCTCCATTTACATCATTTCCATAAGATGTCATCCATTTTGAAACTTGATTACGCTTACTTAGGGGGATGTTTGGGCTGGTAAAGCCGCCACTTACACCGTAGCCTGCCCTAATGGACTACCCAAAATACGAGCCCTCAGAGACACCAAAGTTGTTTGAAGACCCAGCATGGGAAGCCCTAAGCCCTGTATTGAAGACACAAGAATCCCTCACATGAAGACCCTCGACACCAATTAATCCCTTCCCTCGAATACACCCTCCCCTCCCCTATGAGAAATATTTCCAGATATATACTACCAGTATCTAATGGGAGGAAAGTCGGGAGGTTCTTTCAGAGCAACATTCAGGTCTACTTCAACACAGCTGGCCAGGGAAACTGTACTGCCGCCTCCAAGCGCTCGGGGGAAGGTATCTCCAAGGCGCCTCATAAACCCTAAACCCCAAAACCAAACCCTTGAATGCTAGACCCTATGGTACCACTAAAGAAGGTGTACATAGGGATGATGATATAGAAATAATGGAAACTAAAATGGAAAGTAAAACCTCAACCCTAAACCCTGAACTTTAACCCCAAACCTTAGGAGGACCCCCTCACCCTGTAATAGTGGTATAATAAGAACATAAGAGGACCCTAATATAATCCCTATTATCCCTTACAGTCACTATTACTGGGTGGGGGGTCCACCTAAACCCCAAAACCCTAAACTTTAAGTAAAAGGCTGGGAGATGAGCCGTAGTTTGGGCCCAAGATTTTTTGTTTTTTAAATAGGGTCATGTGTGCTATAGTCTAAACTCCTTAAAGGGGGTTATATGCGCGATTATTCAGGGTTTAGGGTTTGGGATTTAGTGTTTAGGATTTAGGGTTTTGGGTCTAAACTCCTTAAAGGGGGGTTATATAAGGGATTATATAGAGGACTACTATAGGGGTTATTGAGGGGCATATTAGGAGTTCAGACTATAGCTCATGTAGGGTTCACTACATAGGTGGGTTTTGGGGTTATGTAGGGTTTAGGTAGTATATCGGAATTGGAATAACTTAACTAGCGTTCCTATTGTTGCAGCGCAGCTAGCTTGTAGTTATCTCGAGGAATTTGGGGGAAAGGCTTTTCAGGTCTGTTGCGTTCACATTTGTAAGCACTGATTTGTTAAGGTGCCCGCCCTGCGGTTTGGCGTTTTTTCAATCGCAGCGGTTTAGTCACGCACAATATAGCAGTTTCCACGTCTATTTCTGTTGACTAAGCCCTAAACCGAAATAGTAGTTTTCAGATTCCACTTGCTTTCCCTTTCCTTCTTCCCCCGCTAGCTGGAGATAAGTTTAGGGGTTTCAGGGCTCAGGATTTGATGTTTGGGCCAGGTGTCCCTTCAATAGATGACCAGAATTCTTCTTCTCTCCTTGTAACTCGGAACTCAATATGTTGCAACAAGTAGTTGTACCAGTCACATCCCCCTCCACATGCAGGCTTTCTTGGGGATCCCTGCAACAGGGTCCACATCCGGAGGGGTATGGGAGACACTCGATATTGTATCTTTTCAGGCGAGATGCATTCGCGGGGGAATCTAGGGAATTAAGGGGCTGCCAGGCAAAACCCTCTTCAGGGTTTAGGCAATACTGGGATACTATAGGGCTAACGCAGGGTTATACAGGGATAGTGGAAACGAAGCTGGAAACTACTATAGTATGCTTTAGCGTTCTCCATCGTCTTTTTATGGTAATGGCCCCCCAAATTTGGTATTTCAGCATCATAGGGCCATTTTTTGATGACATGGAACATACAGCATCCTGTATTTGGGCAGAGAGATCACGCGGCTGGGATTTGGAGACACACAGACCTGAAATGCCAAAACCCACTCCTTGCAGTAGATTACGAACCTTAAGACCCAAGCCCCACTGGCAGGTTCAGGGATATTTCTAATTAAGCTTACAACTAGCCCGGCTGTAGCCATGTTAGGAAACTGAGGCCCATGTTTGGGTTGTAAATGCAGTTACAAGCAGGGTATATGTACCTATGGATCTCAATGTAATCAAAATGCAAACCCAATAGCAGCCCAAATCCTAAAACCCTAAACACTAGAGCCCTAAACCCTAAAATCCTAAACCTCTACAAACCTTGAAACCCCAAAAACCTTGATGATGTTTGCAGGTGGGTGTGAAGGTTGCTATTGAGGTCGATGCTTGGCTGGCTCTGGCCGGGCTCTAGCGGTTATCCAGGGACATATAGGGGTTTTTGAGGCTTAGGATTTAGGATCCAGGGGCATATAGCTGAACCCCAAAAGTACGTAAAATCATGGCCGTTTAGGCTATTTTTATTGGTTTTGGGTTATTATTTTACCTTCTTTTGGGGGGATCAGGTCGCGGTTATATCGGCGTTATATAGAGGCCATATAGTAGGGGGTATTTAGGGGTTATATCGGGGGACATATAGGGGGATTACAGTCCAAACTCCTTAAAGGGGTTACATAGGGGATGATACAGGGGAGCATTATAGGGGGTAAAAAAGGGGGATACTAGAAGTTCAGACTATAGCTCATATGGGCACGTATAGTGTTTGGAGTTTATGGGGCTTCTGGCGGGATTAGAAAGGGATATATTAGGACATATCACCCAGATAATGGGGCATCAGCATAGAAGGGAGAATGGACATGACATGCCGGTTGGAACACCAGAATTCCCAAGGTCCGGGGTACCTAAAGTCATGCAGGATTGTTAGCATCCACCGTAGGTATAAGGGGGGGGTGTAGGGTTTAGAGCTGTGTAGGGTAGATAGGTACATTCGCCATTGCTGTCAGGTCTAGGCACTTGAATGACTTTTGACTTGTCGTGCGTTCTACTATCGGTACCCTCCGCCATGCTAGAATGGAAGCCGAAAAGTGGCCGTGCCAAGATGATCTTCCCTTGCATGGAGGTCTATAAGTGGTTTCAACGTTAGTTCAAAGCCTTAACCCTGAACTGTATATGAGCTATAGTCTAAACTCCTTAAAGGAGGTTATATAGGGGATTCTACAGGGGCTACCAAGGGGGATACTAGGAGCTTAGACTACAGCTCATAGAACCCCCTATAAATCCTACATACTCCCAGTTTCCATTTCATTTTCCATTTGACTGTCCATTGTGTGGGCTGATATCCCTAAACCCCATATAGCCTTCTATACCCAATATATATATACTCCCTTCGAAGGTACCTTCGAAACTGCATATAAGGGAGGCTAACAGTCTAAGGGGTCCTCAAGCCAGCCGAGGATGCTTCGGACACTTTTGACATGTCACCTCCGGGCCAATACTGCGAGAACAACCGGAGCTTGGGCCCCCATTGGAGCTATAGTTTAGGTGGATCCCCCACCCAGTAATAGTGACTATAAGGGAGAATAAGGAGTATATTAGGGTCCTCTTATATTCCGATTATACCACTATTACAGGGTGGGGGGTCCTCCTAAGGTATAGTCTAAACTATTTAAAAGGGGGGTCATAGAAGGGATTTTATATGGGACTACTATAAGGGTTATTAAGGGGGATATTAGGACTTCAGACTATGGCTCATCTAGCTATTTCATTTAAGGGTATAAGGTTTATACGGTTCAATGGCGCGGGGGTTTGGGGCTGAGTCTTAAAGGGTATTAGAGTATAGGGCTTGAAATATAGGACATGTGATGGTTTGAGCTTCAGGCTCTTCGGGCCCTAAACCCTAAACCGCTTTTAGGTCTTAGACCTCAAGGTTGAGGGTGGCGTTTTGAAATCAGGCTGCGGGTAGTGTGACTTTTTTAAAATTCATTGTGGTAGCTTGGCACTAATTGTGAGGGTTTCCCTAAAATCATGGGTCCGATTGTTGGGGGTCCCTATAATCAGGACTATAGTATTTTGCCCTTTTTAGGGAAACTACCCTATCAACCCTAAACCCCAAACCAAGGCAACTCGATGTTGAGAAACGGCCACTGTAAAAGCTAGCAATCCTCCGTTCAGGGTTTAGGGTGTTTAGGGTTTAGGGTTTAGGTCCAAAGGTTACGGCGAGTTAAAGTCACAACATGAAGTCCCCCTCAAGTGGATAAAACAGGGTTTAGGTTGTAGGGATATAGTCCGCTTTACGTAGATAGAATATGGATTTTCACAGTATCATAATAAGATCCTCATATCCCTATACCCCATATTCTATGTACTTAAGTGGCTATAGCCTGCCATTGCATCCTTAAAGAGGGTATTCACTCTCTGGGCAGGAACCAAAATCATGATCCATCTGTTGCTTCTAGAAGCAGGCAAAAGCTGGGGTAGTCAGAAGACCACTACCACTGCTCAGAGCATTTTCAAAACCCTAGATGCTGAACCCCTAAATCCCTAAACCCTGAACCCTGAGCCCCAAAACCCTAAGCTTGAGACGATTGAAAAGGCTCGCTTCAACGATCTGAAGTCAACATCTTAGACAAACGTTCGACAGGGTTCGTATAACCCTGAAGCCTTGAACAACTTTAGGGTTTGGGCTTTCGGCTTACTTGTTGTTACTAGTAGTAGAAAAGATGAGAATGGAGCTTTGCAGTAGTCCCCAGAATGCCCCCGCATTACTTCGAATCATATCTGGAACTACCGTCCCATTTCCTGTTCAGCACGAGTCATTTTTGCATGTCTTCAGATCCCCAAAAAAGCAGACTGACTGGGAATTCTGGCTGCGTGTTTGTAGATCTCTTGGGTTATACCAGGGCAAAGTACAGAAGGGGACAAAGTACTCTAAACCCAAAACCCGAAACCCTAATCCACAGGGTTGCCAGTAGCCAGAACCTTCAGCACTTTGCATGGGAACCATTTTTACACGGAGCGTCAGGCAAAATGGTAGCTTCCAGAAATAGACCACCCCCAAAATGGTCCCCAAAATGCTAAAATCCATTTGTTGTTGTTTTAAATAGGGGCTCCAAAAGGGTACCTGCTGAGGCGCAGGTGCCCTATAGAGGGGTGCAATAAGTGGATTTGCGCTATCCCTTCTCGCATAATCCTCCATAGCGGCAAGAGCACA